GGGGGAGACGCTGGTGGTCCAGCAGCGCGGCGTGCGCCTCTGCGACGGGGAGGAGAAGGTGAGGGGAGCGGCCCTGCGCGGGGCCTGGCGGCGCGGCGGGGGCGAGGAGGGAAGGGCACGGCCGTGGGCCCCAGCCAAAGGGGGCGGCAGGGGACGCGACTCTGGGTAGTATGGGACAAGGGGTGCGGGGGGGTGCGAAGGGGCCTGGGCTGCAGGAGGAGCATCGGCCAGAGGCCTGGGAGACGGGCGCGTTTTGCGCCGGGGTGTGGCGAGGGGTGCTTTGGGAGGAGATCCAGGCGTTGTGGGAGAAGGGCCTTGGACGGCGTGCGCCACGCGGAGGGCGGGCGGGCGTCCCCACAGGGCGCGGGTAGCCGGTGTCGCTGTCATGAAACTTGACGTCCACCGCTTGGGCTGTCACTGCCTGCGTCAGGGGCTGAGCACCCCCCGTGTTGCTGCGCACGGCGAGCGCTGCTCTTAGGCTGTGACGCCGGGTGCAGGGCATGCCAGGCAAGTCACGCTTGAGTCATCCTGGTAGCTGTACAGTGCTCTGCGGCTCTGGTCGCGAAGGGTGCTCCCTTCCCTCTGCGCTCAGCTGAGCCTACTCAGTTATTGTTTTGCATCACGGCTGGGCTAACTCCTGATCTCTCCTCATTTTTCCTCACCAGAGTAGGTGCGTACCCTCATACAAAGCTGTAAAAACGTGCCTCCGCTTTTACAAGTAGGAAGCAGTTTTACAAGTAGGAAGTAATTTGCTAACACAGGGTTTTCCAAATACCGATGGCTGTCTGATAAAGAACTTTTCAACAACAAAATGGATAGAAACAATACTTCTGTGTGGTAGGCCGGAAGATTTCAGACAGTGCATAGCATCTTCTTAGGTTGCTTTGCTTTTTTGCATAACATTTACTTTCTTTGTCAGCAAATAGTGTTCCAAAGCCAATAGCCCTGTGTAAAATATGATATTTAGGAATACTCGTATATCTTGCACAGCGTATGGAGGGAGGATCCTTCAGGATTTCCTGGGGGAAAGTTTATACAGTTGAAAAAGGAAGTTTGTGTATATCCATCTAATCTTATTATACTAATTTTCTCCATTGTTTCCTAAACTTCATTTATTGTGTTTTCTGAAAAAAGAAAGTGTTCTCAAAATATTGGCTGGTTGAATCTGATTGCCATGTTGTGGTAACGTGTAATGTTTCCAAGATCAGTAGTTATGCAACCTACTGGTTAAATTTGGGTTTGATCTGTTTTATTTTTCCCACTTAGGTGAAATTTGATAGTGGAGTATTACTGCTTAGCACACACAGACTAATCTGGAGGGATCAGAAGAATCATGTAAGTCCCACTTTTGTCTCTTATGTCATTCAATTGTAAATTCCATAATAAACAACAGGTAGCTTGCAATTAAAAGACTGCACACGGAGAGGAGATTCTTCTTTCCTTTGTGTGTATTTTGTTTTACAAATATTGTCCATTTTTTGGCTCACAGTGGAAACAAAATTATGTACAGGAATGTTCTTTCACCCAATTCTGCTTTAATAAAATAATCATGCAGAGATGAGGAGGGATGGGAATGAATCACATAAATTTTCCTTTTCTACAGCACAAAAATAGAGGAGAAAAGAGTCTGGCACTAAAAAACATTGGTTTGAGACTAAAGTTGAATGTGTCGGGCAAATCATAATGTAAACTCCTCTCCCATGCTCCTTGTCTAACAAGACCTTTTCTTCTTCATTGTTTTCAAGTCCAAGCTTCCCCGTCTTCTGCTCCCAGCATATAGTCCCAGATTGTGATTTGATAATAGGATGTGTTCGGTGGCAGTACTATTTTGTACGGGTCTTACCCTCCCAACTGCCTGTTCTTGTGCTGAACCATCCCTTCAATAAGCCAGAACATTTGTACCGCTATGGAGAGTTCACTCGGAGGTTAAGTGGCAGTGGCAGAACGACAGTGTAATATGGCTGCTGAAGGCTTTGTATCATCAAGCCACAGCCTGAGATTGCAGGCTAGAAATGGGTGAGAAAGGCTACAGACGCATACAAAGCTCTAAGCACAGACTGTGACAGCGTGCACCACTTTGCAGCTGCAATTGAAGGAGAAGTCCTCCTCAGAACCAGGTTGGATTATGCTTATTTTGGACACAATCTTTTAGAAATTTAGCCCTGGAAGCCAAAGTTTAGACAGAGCATGTGCAGATGACAACTCTTCAAAGGCGTATTATATTCCACTGGACTAGTTTTGTGCAAGGATAGCTGAAGCACCTCTCGCACCCGAAGGCCATTCCCTACCAAATATCGCATCCTTGCTCCAAAGCAGGGAGCTACTAAGAACATTCTAAAGGTAAGGTCACCAAGGATGTTCTTAATTTGGCAAAGCAATACATTTTTTCCTTAGAGTTTGTTTGCAGGAACAGCAGAACTATTTTTAGTACAAATTTTTCAAAATGTTTTGAGAGCTGGTCACCAGGGTGGGGTTACTGTTAAAGAAGTCAGGGGTTGATTGTCCAGATCATGAACTATTCTGTATAACTTAACTTTGGGGTTTTTTTTGGCACAGTCAGCGTGAGATAATTTAGTTGTGCTAAACTATCTGTGTAATTCATCTCTTATTTCTTCACCAGCATCTCTTCTTGACAGGTGGGCATGTACTGCAACATGCACCGCTTCTAATCTTCTCACCTGGACATTTTACTTGCTTGGAGTAACATTAAGTATTAAGGCTTCAGCAAGTCTAACAACTGTTCCTATCCCCATTCTCTCCTTCCCAACAAGAGGATGACATTCATCTCTTGTCCCTGTCTTCCCCTGCTCCTAGGCTACCAGATTCCTTGTATCAAGCTCATTGAATTTGCTTAATCAGCAAAGAAGAAACTTGGGGAATAAGAAAAATAGTTTTCTTTTAACAAATTATTTTAACTCAGCAAAGATTCTGACAAGCTCCAGGCTTGATTAAGGGAAGGGGCAGAAACATATGGCCAGGAGATGGGCAAAAATTACCCAGTTCTGATCTAATACAGACCAATTCTGTCTCAGCAGAGCCAGGTTATGTTTTTAATTTTAAATCTATAGTACACAAATAACTTTATTAGTGCAGTAAATGAAGCTGATTCTTTCTCAAGCTCTTAGGATTGAAACATGAGGAGCACAATGCCGTTTTATTTTCACGGTGAGTTGTTGGCTGAGCTCAGCTGTGGTATAACATCAGCCTTAGAAACCTTAGCTAGCTTACCTAGAATAAACTTGTAGAGAGAGTCCCCCTTTATTGTGTCAGCAAACTTTAGTAATAAATGGGGCACTTGTCATTAGGTTAACATAGCAAACCTTTTTACAAAAACAGACAGCTGTGTTTTATAGCTGCTGTTGTTACATACCATCTGCAGTTGAACAGTGTAGAAAATACAGTGGTTTCCAAAGGAAAAAAAACATGTAATTCTTTTGTTACATAGCTAGAGTTGTACAACGTTTTAAATCATAAAATCATGCATAATGTGATCATGAGATATTAGAAAAAAACATCCAAATAAACTCTCAGCATTTTTAACACATCTCTTTTTGTATCCCTTCCTCTTGCTTCTCTCACCAGGAAGGGGTGATTCTAAGTCCTTGTGCTTACAGTAAGTTCATAACTTTCTGTGAACTAAATGAATCAATCATTTTGACAGGGTACATACTATATATAGTTGGACTCTTTTGTCATTTTCAATTTTTTTTTTTTTTTTTTATTACAGAAGTATCATTTTGCCTATATTTAAAGTGTCCAGAGCTATGTGGGCGTTTTACAAACAGTAACCTGTTCTATGTAACGGCTGTAGAATCTGAACCCGTAGAAGAATCTAAATAGCTTGTATTAAGAGTTTTTAAAACAGGAAGTACAACCCATGTTTTTTCCCAATGAGAGGTTTACTCAGTCCGAGTTCCCGCATGTGTATTTCCCAAATCTCCAATTTAATGAGTAATCATTTCATGCAAAGAGGAACAATTTTGGTAGTAGGGTTTGAGAGGGCCCTGTAACAGTGTTCATTGTAACGTGGTGTGAGGCACACGCTTGTGGCAGATGGAAGAGTGGTTCAAAGAGGGAATGTAACCTGTGTTTCCTGTATTCTGGGTGACCGTGTCAATCACCAAGCTATTGTGTAGAAGACAACATTCATCAAAGGACACTCATCAAAACAAGACCAGGCGCCTAATTAGATGCTTTGAATGGCTCCCTTGAGCAATTTCTGTCTCAAATGCATATAGAAAGAGTTTAGCCTGCGTAGGTTAGTCTCCCACAGATGGATACAGTCTTGTTTCTTGCTCTGCTTTGTTTTGTCTAAAGCACAGTCCAATAAACGTGTGTTGAGATGCATCAACTGCTGGATTAAATCCTTGGGTCTGGGATAGATGGAGAAATTTCTATTCCGCTCAGAGGATAGTCTAGTTTTTTAGACCTTCAGTGCTTAAAAGACTGGTGCTTTTGGGTATTGTTTTAGCTCCCAAAGTAGCATCAGTGCAAAAATGTTAAGAATCTATGAGCATTGTGCACCTACAGGGATAAGCTGCAATAGCGTGGAACTTTTAGTGTTTAAATTTTGAACTTAGATACTAAAGATTTGTTAAATTCCCGAGTCCTTCTATGAATCTAGCTTGAGGTGTCTAAAGTCAACACGTGTACACTTAAGTTTGTTTTTTTGATTATCTAGAACTCAGTTTCAACTTTAAGGTTTCTATTTATATTTCTCTTTACTAGATTGTTTCTATTGTTACCATCATATTTCATATGGAGTGCCTCAGGCAGCACCTGTAGAAATCTGTACTGTTTGTGAAATGGAGAAGGAGAGCACTTGGCTTTGGAGAACGAATAGTCAGGATATGGCTTTAATTTCACTTGTGTTTGTATTGATTATTCCAGGAGTGCTGCATTGCTATACCTCTGTCTCAGATCGTCTTTATTGAAGAGCAAGCAGCTGGGATAGGAAAAAGGTACGGTGATACTCATTGTCTTTTTCAGATGGACAGTTTGTTCATGCATGTCGCGTGAGGTACCCAAGATTATTTATTAATTCATGGTAGGTTCCATTTGCAATCCAAGTTTCCCGATTGGTCCGACAAGGACCTGCTTTCCTCACTTGAGATCAAATGTGTAAGAGAGTCATGATAAAGCAGTGTTTGATGTGATTTGTTAAATAACTGTCTTGTAATCACTAAACAAGTATGTGTTCTAGCTTGCCATTTTTATTTGATTAGTCATAAATGACAACAGTGATTTTGCTGGATCTAAATTTGAAAGCTAATTTTCCTCCTTTGTGCCACAGAACCGGTTGGGGATAGAAAACTCTGCCAGATCCCATATTATATAACTTTTCATGGCCATATAATTGTTTTTGAGCATGGAAATGCTAGCAATGGTTAGAAGGAACTCAAGTGTTCCCACTCACTTGAGTAACTAACTCAGTATGGTATGTGTGTAAAGAAGTTTCACAACAAAAAGAGAAAATAATATTAACTGGAGAAATAGATATGTAGTTGACATCTGCTTGCAGCCTACAGTCAGATGGGTAAGGTAATATGCTGGTAAGGTAATACCCAGAAGAAATGAGGTAATTCACTAATGCTGGAGAAGTCAAGCAAATAAAGACCCATGAAAAAAAGTATCAATAAAATGAAATGGGAATGGCAGACTTGCAGTCATGCTGTGATACCAGTCTGTTATGTTCTTAAAATAATGCTATCTCAGGGTTTGTTTGGGTGGTAGGTGTCATTTTAGACTGTTATTTCCAAGCATGTTACCTTTGAATGTTGGTTTTGGACAAATTCACATACAGTGTTTGCAAGTGACATATACAAGTGGGATAGATTAAACATAATATTGAGAGCTTTTGTTTTCCTGTGACTAAGATAGGGTATTTTGGCAGTAGTTATTGCAAGTCAAAAGCCAAATCAAATGACTACTTGATGATTAGTTTTTATCTTAACTAAAAGATATTTCAGAAATTATTACATGAAATGTTAAAATATGTTATGTTTATTTCTTAAGAATTGATGGTAAGTACATTTTAAATTTGTGAGATGTTGCTGTTTTAGAGGTTATAGTAGTTTTTATGCAAAATCTACTATAATCTTGAGTCAAAATACTTAAATGTTGATGCACAAACGTAAAGCATTATTTGATGTACTTTAGCTCTTATGTGAGATAAAGTTAATAGAGGCTCTGATTAAATTGTTAACTTTCAAGAAATATTTTTTTTAGATATTATGGAAATCTGCCTCTTTTCTTTCCTTTAACTTCTTCTTAGTGCCAAAATAGTAGTTCATCTTCATCCTGCTTCTTCAAACAAAGAGCCTGGTCCATTCCAAAGCAGCAAGTATTCCTACATCAAACTTTCTTTCAAAGAACATGGGCAGATTGAGGTAAGTTTTGTACCGTGCAAGCCCAGCACATCAGATCTTTGGACATGCTTTTCTCCTCTTCCTGCGTTAGTGATAATTTTCCATGATCTTTCCATGTTTACTTTTGAGGTGGAGCTTTTTCAATACATCCTTTTTAAAGACAAACACTATGAGCCTTCAGGGTTCTATACTTTGGTTAAATAATGCAAATAGAGTTCCAAAAATGTCAAGAGGCATTATTAGGCTTTGTCCTTATTTTAATAGTTTTAATATAATCTTATACTGCCTTTTTTAATCTTTTAAATTGAACATGGAATTTTCCAAAATGACGTCTCTGAAATCTGTTAAATGTAAACAGAGTAAAAGATGTTTCTTCGTAGCTAACCCTCTGCTGAATAGGAATCAGCAACTTATTCCTAATCATCTCTCTAATTTTATTGCTGAACACTTTTTGTTGCCTCAGACCTTTGTTTCATTTTACGTTTTATAAATCTTTATTTTTTTTTACCTACACCAAATCTCAAAGGCTTTGAGCATTCTAAAAAAAAGGTAATATATTTTTAAAAGAAGGCTTATCCTGAAAAAACGAAGAAATTGCACTCTCTAAAGAAATTTCACGGTATAAGATCCTCATTTGAAGAGACTGAGAACTTTAACTTTGAACAACGAAAAAAGCCATACCTGTTCATTGCAGAAAATCAGATTTTCAACTTGAATTAGTTATAAAAGCCTTACAAATGCATGTGCTTGATCAGACTCACTTTCATTTCTTTGTGAGCAGTTTTCAGCTTAGGATGAGTGTAGATTTATGCCTAGTTATAATTGTATAGGTGTTTTGCCTAATCGTAACCTTATTTATTTTAATGTTAATGTTCATGTCTGAAAATCAAACTTACTATGCTTACTGGTTACCTAGCGTATCAGTTATACTCCAGATCTTTTCTTTATGACTTCAGAATGCTTTCCTGTGAACTCTGAACAACCATAAGAATGGAACAAATTTTCTTTCTGGATTTTGGTCAGTGGGATGCACTTACTGTTAACTAATTAACTAATGCCACCTTCTGGTACTAGCAATAAACAAATAAGTGTAATTGATCTGTGTGTTTGTCTTTATATTGTTGAATTAACAGATCATTAGTAATTGGATTGTTCAACTTGCCTTCCTTTTAAAAGCATGCCTTTGAGCAAACGTCGACATTTTTAACTTTAGCATGTTTTGGAACATTTTGAATATCTGAAAAAAATAATTTACAATAGAAGTACTCACGCTAGTTTAAGTAGTAACTACATTTTTGAAGACTGGACATTAAGAATTTCCAGGTAATGAATGTTGTACTGTGGATGTGTAGGTGTTACCATGCTTTGTCTTACAGTGACGTTTATTTCATCTACCACCAGGATACTAAAAATACCCAGAGGTACTCTGCACAGTTTATGAAACGTCTGTTGTCACTCTTTACTGTTTGCAGTTCTATAGACGATTATCAGAAGAAATCACACAAAGGAGATGGGAGAACATGCCTACTGGTCAGACCATTCAAGTTAACAAGGATCCACGGGTATGTGCAGAGCTTCTGGGCAGAATCTATATGTAATCTCTTGTTTCTACTTCTTGCTGCCCCCGTATACTGCATCTGGCATGCCTCCCTAACCAAAACCATGGGCATGTGGGAATTCAGCTTTACTTTGCCTATTTCTTCATGGGCGTAAATTAGTTTCTCCTTCGTAGTTTTCACCTGATACAGATCACTGTGGCATCTCTTCCTTGAGTGTGTTTAGACTTGGATAGTTGATAATGAGCTCCATTTTTTTAATGTAGTCAGACACACACGTATATGATTATGCAAATATTATATACATTTGCATATAATTTTATTCAGCATGAGAGATCTAATGAAGCTGAAAGGTTTTTGGTCTTAATTGTGATTTCTGTTTTATTTTTTGTGGCTGGAAGTCAAATATATAACATGTAACTTTTACATAACTCTTTGGAACCTCTATATGTTTGATTTAAATGTATATTCTAAATAGACAGTTGTTATGGAGAGTCTCTGTCATATGTTAGATTGCCTTCTTTGCATACTTCTAGGTTATAAACTCTGATAAACATGTAGATGTTGTTTCTGTATATGAATATGTTGAATGTATGAATATATTGAATGTATGAATATGTTGAACATATAGTACTACATGAATGAAATAGGATGATTTAAAGATTGTTCAACATCAAATCACATATGTCCTACTTTGTAAATGTAGTACCTGTAAACAAAGATAGTTGCATTTGGACTAATGGGGAAGCCTGTACCCTGCGTCAAGAATCACTTAATGAAAATGCCTTACCTCCTATTGTTATTCTTAAGTCATAGCAAATCAGTAACACCAGTGCTAAGCTTTGCAGTCAGAGATTTGAGGGCTGGCACCACTGCCACTTCGGTACCAGCCTTTCTAAAACACATTTGGCATCAAATGAAAGGTTCCCCATCACCTCCATTCTGCTACTTCTCAGCAAGGTCAGTTAGACTGCACTTAGCATTGTGTTTCTGTGGCTGTGTTTCTTCAGGCTAGATTTCTTGAGGTAATGATGTTTAGATACACTCACGCATTTCCACAACTCTTGTATAGATGTTCACATGGACTTGGGAGGCTTTAATTGAGATAAGCTGGAATGCTTAGTCTGGATCAGGCTATTAAGCATCTTCATATCAACAGCTTCAATATAATAATCTTATAATCTGTCTACTACAGCAAATTCATACGTGCTTTACACTTATTGTTTATTTTTTTAACACTGGTTTAAAAAATAATTTCAAGAAATATGTGAAATATTGTATGCATGATATCAGTTCTTTGGGAGAACGTTTCCTGTCTTCTAATGTAAAGTTTTTCACAGTGAGGCGGATGAGAAAACTGAGCATTTCCTATTTTGATTCCTTTCATTATTTTCTTTTGCAGGCAGGAAGAATAAGGGCTGTAGGAATTGTAGGGATCGAGAGGAAATTAGAGGAAAAAAGAAAAGAGACAGACAAAAACATTTCCGAGGTAAATACTACTGAAGTTTCAAGGTCAACCACCTGTCTGAGCCATTTACATTCATTCACACTTTCTTTTAGGGGCAGCTGAGACTATTTATTGCTTTTGTTGAGAAGTCTGAATTCATTAAGAGTATATAATTTACAGTTATTTACTTTGTTGAACTGGCTTTTCAATATATGTAAAGGTACTTCATTTAAACAGTTCCTTTCAAGAAGACTGTTCTTTGAAACTAACATTGTGTATTTATGAAATTAATTTTGGTAGAATTAGAAATCTGAGTTCAGTGACTTTTCATCAGGGGAAGCAGAACACAAAGGCATCTGCAGAAAGAGACTATTACAAGTTTGGGAGTTTTTTCGTTTTTTTTACAGCTAATTTTGGTTTCAATTGAAAATTTAATATATGCTAAGAAGAATACACTGATCTAAGTGTCTGCACATAACTGTGGTGAAGTTAGGTTTCGTCTTACAAATATTCAGTTTTTAAATGTTAGATTTAGGCTTTAATTACAGTAAAGTGTTCTGCAGTCTAGGCATTGGCAGGATGTTACAAGTATCTTTGTGAAATACCTGGGCTAGATGGAGACCATCCTTTTCCCCAGAAACAGCACAATAGTTGAATTCCAGATATTAATACTGATGGAAACAGAGGCAACTAATTTCTTCATGTATACCTGGGAGCAATATCCTCAGAAATAATCTGGTTCTGTCTTGGTAGCAGATTAATACAGAAGTACTCATAAACTACATGCAGCAGATTCTTTCTTGTGGCAAAGCATTATGGGATTCAGTGTGCAACAATAAAAAAGGTGTTGACTGCTCTGATACATAAGAAAATCGTAGTACCTTTGCAGGCTGCGTGCTGTTGCAGATACTGGTAGCATTGAACTTTTTCCTTTCTGTTTATGAGGAACGTAATGAATGAAGTTCTGTGTGTAGTTCAAAAGGTATTGTGGTTACATGCGTGTGTGTATAGTTCAAAAGGTATTGTCTGGTTATTTTTTCCTTTAGTAGCTTTGTCAGAGAGTAAAAGAAATCCATTTATACGTGTTGTATGAACGGAGGAAAACCATGACTTGTAAAATCCTGCCTTCCTCCAGCTTTAAATGTTGTAAATGACTTAATTTAAAAAATGGTGCCCTGGCTTCCAGGAAAAGGCTTCCTGCATCTGCTGTTCACTGCTGATAAGAATCCAGTTCTTTAGCCTTTTGTTTATCTGAGGAAGTTCCTGTTAGGTGTGTGCACATTCCCCTTTGTTTCCAGGCCTGCCCTCGGTGAGTCAGGCAGAGGGGGAGTTAGACACAGCATGCTGTTTATTTAGCTAAATCAAGGGTTCTTTTGATGAATGATGTTTTCATGCAGGTTATAGAGATTAGAAATAAGCTGGGAAAAGCCATGTCAGAAAACTTTTTGTTGATATCATATACAAGTACAGTAGAAGGACTTTGATTTACACTAGAGACTGGGAAATCTATTGTAAATTATTGAATTTGGCAGATTAGGGAGTAAGAAGAAATATTCCAAAGAGAAGCTTTTGTTCTGATAGTGGTAGATTATTGTTATGCGGTGGTATATTTTCTTTTCTCCCCTTGGACCGAGCTTTGTCCCACTTAATTTTGGATACCTAACTTAGGTGCCAAGCGTTAAGAGGCTAGGCTTCTCCAGTCAGTGGAGAAACTGGCACCATTAGGAGGGATTCAGATGAAAAGCAAACCCTGCCCCTTCCTGGAGGCATCTCTTTCTCTTCTTTGCATGTTGAATCTCAGACCAATAAGCTTCTAAGTAAGGCGCCTAAATGTAGATGGGAACAATTGGGTCTTCCTGCACAAATTCTGCTAAAATGTGTTTTTCTAGGGGGGGATTAGTCAGAATAAGCTAGGAATCACATAGAAAGAATTGCTAGAAGCTGTGGGCAAGATGTATCTCTGGTCATTTGACATACTCTAACTGAACAACCTTCTTGACTTGTGGCTGGAGGGGCTGCGTGCTGCTGTCAGGCAAGCATTAGCTGAAAAGGTTCAGCAATTTTTCTCACACCGGATGTTCAAAAGAGGTTGTTTGAAAAGGTTGACCACCTGAGCATGTTGTCATGTATTTGAGAGAAGTGGGTGAGAAGGCTGAATGTGTGTTGCTGAGGATGGGAGAAATGAGAGTTGCTTTTTAATATAGTTGCTAACTCTTTTTTTTTTTTTTTACATTAATTTTTTAATGCTAGTTAGTTATCAGACTAGAACTTTTGAATTTCAGTATACTTTCAGCTTTTTTTAACGTATGTTTTACTTAAGCCTAAAAATGCCCTTTGTGGGTTGTTGTAGAATTGTTGTATTTGAGAACGTAGCAGTTTACTAAGCTTAATAGACTTGATATAATTGTGGTCCTATGATGCATGTCCAGTTTATTACATATTTTTTTGTGGAAACAAAATAAAAGGTTTCTTAGACTAGAAAAAAAACCCTGTTTTGTACAAATAATTTTTTCCCTTGCTCTAGCAGGTATTTTGGTTTTTAGGTCCAACAACTGGAGTTTTCAGAGGATGCTTTTTATCTCGTTTTTATCTTAATTTGTTTAAATCTGATCATTTGTCTCATGGACCTTATTTCATTCTTTTTTTTAACTGTTTTTTGTTTATTATGGTAGCACCACTGTTCCTATGTATGCAATACTTAAATGAAGAGATGTTGCCGCACATTTTCAGAGGTTTTGTCTCTTCAGTTAAGCATACATGTGAAAGCATATACCCTCTTCCTTGCTCATTTGAAATGACTGTTTCTTACTAACTTGGTAACATCTACTGTTTAAAGTAAAATTTTCTTGTCAGGAGGGGTACTTCTGTAGCTTTAGAGCTGGCTTGCTGCTGGCCAGAAACAATAGATCTCTTTGAGAGAGGGTTAACTGTTGGAAGAAAACCTACCATCACCAACAAGGAACCTTCCCTCAGCTTTTAGGAGAGCATGATAAACTTGGACAGTTTAATCTTTTCTGGGCCTCAGTATCTCATTGTTCCTTCCTATCATATGGACTTCATAAATCATATCGAACTAGTGTTCACATACTAGAAAAGTGTGTGATTGATTCTTTTCTTCATTCTTTGTTGTTTATAGATTGTATAATTGAGATTTTAAGACCTAATATAGAACAGATATATCAGCCAATTATATATATTATCTCACATTGTAACATACTCATCTAAAGCGACAGCAGCTCTTAGGAATAGCTTGGATAGGTGGGCAAAGGCAGCTCACTGTATCCAGGAAGCTGAATGCTGTAATTATACTGATCTGCAGTGTCTGCTTTTCATTTCAGGCTTTTGAGGATCTTAGCAAACTAATGGAGAAGGTATGGCATGTGTCACTTACCCAAGTAAGCTTGCTTTTCTCTGTTGAGCTGAAAGTTGACTTATCCATGTGTATTTCTTGATAGGCTAAGGAAATGGTGGAGTTATCCAAGTCAATAGCTAATAAGATTAAAGAAAAACAAGGTGACATCACTGAGGATGAGGTAAATGAATTTTGTGTTTAAAGTCAACGGAAATGTTCCTATGCAAAGCAAAAAGCTATCTGTTTAATACATGTAACGTTAATAAAGAACACTTCATGGTTGGGGTTTTTTGTGTTTTAATTCTACATAAAGTAAAAGCGACTTTCTTGTTCAGTGATGGCTTTCCTTTTGACCCTTTCTTAAAAGCAAAGATTTTACTGCCTTTGTGTAAATTTTTGTATTTTGGACCTCTGCTGATTAAAAATAAATTGTATTAAGTCTTGCCTTCTCTTTGCTAGTAATTGACCTTATTGGTAGTAAACTGAATGGATTTATTCACCAAAACTGTCTTATAGTAATAACATCAAAGACTTTTAAAAACCAGAATCATTCATTAGCTGATGTACTTCTAAATTTATTTATTTACGTGTTTGTTTAGACTATTAGGTTCAAGTCCTATCTACTGAGTATGGGTATAGCTAATCCAGTTACCAGGGAAACATATGGATCTGGTACACATTACCACATGCAACTGGCGAAGCAACTAGCTGGAATGCTGCAGACACCATTAGAGGTAAAGTACCTGATTTTGCACCATCATTTTCCGTGTGTTGCTGAATTTTGATGTAAATGTGTTTTGGCTGTAATACTGTGCCTCTTTTTAAAGTCTCAGATTTTGCAGCACCACCTCATATTCAGTGTTTATGGAAGGAATATATATCCTTTTTCTGAATAAGAAAGTTTAAATATAAGTAAGAATCTTTCTTTTGAGTAATGGCATCTCAACTTCTAATTTCCGAAATATCAGTGATATTTAGAAAATCATACTAGCAGTCTTTTTCTATTTGAAAAGCCCTGTATTCATCCCTTGCTGCAGAATGTTACTTCTTTAAAGAGCAAAACAACACTGACTTTGAAAATATAAGAAGTCAGTCTTTAAACTGCTTAAAAACTACATATTTTGCAAATATAGCACAAAGTTGTTACATGGATTACGCCGCCTTACTAATATCTCGTATTTTAATTTATCTGAAGCTATTACAGAATTCAGGATTCTCACCAAAAAGTTAGATTTCACGTTGCAACTTATAAGGCTATGTGTCTGCTAAAAAGCATACGTATTACAGTATTTTTGTGAAAGCTATGTGCTACCTACTATAATCAGAATGGAAAATGAGTGTGTCTGAAAGCAAAAAGCAAAAATGGTAAACTGATTGATAGATGTAATATACTGAAATTCCTTGTTCCTGTGATTTATTCTCTGCTTTAAAATCAAAATAATGCACAGTCTTTGGATGTAGTGTCAGTGTTTTGCATTTTAAAATTATTAGAGAAAGATAGAATAACATCTTACCTCTCATGCTAAAAATACATGGTATTGCCTGGGTAGTTTTTTTCATTAAGGCCCATCATTTACCTCTGTTTTACCTGTTTAATAGTCAAATGCAAGTTGAGACACTGTGTTTACTAGATTAATGCTATTTCTCTTACCAGTCTTGTGCTTAACACAGGAGCGAGGAGGGATCATGTCGCTTACAGAAGTGTACTGCCTGGTAAATCGCGCACGAGGATTAGAGGTGAGAAATTGGTTTTATTAAATATTTTATAAAATGTACTTCAGTGATAAGGTAATTAAAGAAAAAGGGTAAAAATGTTCCCTACCAATTGCTCGCTCCACCTGTCTAGCAGCATGAAGTGATCAGCCCTTTATTAAAATTAGGGTTTTTTACCTTTTTCCTTTCTGCTTCTTCCATGTAATGCTTATGTATCCTCTATAAGTTGTCATAACATATGCTGCTTTTTATAATACCATATAAAAGGGAAAATCCATCCTTATCTGGAAAGAAAACTGAAAGGACAGAGAACACTAAAGAATGGTGAATGTTTTGGTTTGTTTTGTTTTTTTCTTTTTTTTTTTTTACAAAATACATCAATTCTTTCTGTAAGCAGGGCAAGAAGGATTATTATAGAACACATAGTAAGGGAACAGAAAGGAGCATAGAAGTCAAGAAAATAGACTGGACAATAGAAGGGAAGAAAATTAACAATATTGCATAGCCTGGTGTGTTTTATAGCTGTAGTTTTTAGAACTGTTTTGATGTTATGCTGTATACTTGAAATGCAAGCTGTGAATAAATATGTTTTACTGGTTTAATAGTTGCTGTCACCAGAAGATTTAGTAAATGCTTGTAAGATGCTGGAGTCACTGAAATTACCACTAAGGTAAGAGCTGTACAGCTGTATTTATAAAACATAGCAGTTGCAAATCAGACCGTGGTGCTTGGATGACTTAATATTTTACCTGCAGTAGATTTTTTTGGTTTTTTAAACAAAGTTGTCCTTTGCTTAAAGGATGCTGCTGTCTGCACCAACATCCATTCTACATTAAAATATTTAATTTTTTAACCATGGTTCACTTTGCTAGGAAGACAATATTCTTTTCACTTCCAATACAGTTTTTTCAGACTGGGGAAAAGTGTTTAACTAAGCCCAGACATATGCCCTGCTCTTTTCAGATTTTGAAGATGCTTTTAATGTTAAGTTCATTTTACAGAGTTTTTTTTCCCCCTTGTGTAATGTGGTTATAGGTGTGGAGGTGTGGATGCATTAGAAATGTGACCATAGGTGATGTGCACAGGTTTTTAGTTACTTTGACTCTCTCTCTTGATTTTAGGCTTCGGATATTTGACAGTGGTGTGATGGTGATTGAACTCCAGTCTCATAACGAAGAGGAAATGGTAGCTTCTGCTTTAGAGACAGTAAGTGTACTTCATTTCCTTCAGTGTTCTGACCGTGCTGGGGAAATTTAAACGCATTAGGTATAAAAACTTGAGGCACAGGATTTCCTTTTGAGGTTTTGAAATACAAAATATTCCACTTCCAAATCTTCTAACAGTAATACTTAAATAGGACTTCTCATCTTCAAAGTGCTGTGCAGGCAATAATCTTAGTCATTGCTTTCTCCTTAAAGAATAAATCGTTTTTCCATTTCTTTTCAAACTTCGTTAACCTTCAACCTTCCTCCCAATCTTTTGCGCTGTAGGATGAAATTCATGGCATGTATTAAGCACTTAATTTAACAGAAGTGGACTTCAGACACTGTACACGACGTGCTTGAAGGCAGTGAAAGTAGCTCTTAAATGTTGATATAGGCAGTTGTTTGGTTTGGGTTTATTTCATAAAATAGCACATTGTATGTGTAACATCTTGTACTGAGTTTGCTGCTGTGAAGAGCACTCGGAGAGTAGTGCGTGTAGAATTAAGCTAGCTTCATCAAGAAAAAAAACAGTATAAATTGCTCAGTGTGGTAAACCTTCATGGTCCTGCTACCTCTGGACTCTTTTAAAGTCCTGATATCCAATTATTTGATGCGTTTTCCTGTGTCTGTTTCAGTGGGATGTAACTTTTTGTTTTTCATAAAGTTGAGTAAAGGCTGATTCAGTGTATCCGAAGTTGAACATCAGAGTCAAAGAGGACTTTGACTTGGGCAGTCAAGAAAACGTAGAGCTACCACAGACACCTTCTCATTTGATACATGAGGTAGCCTCTTCAGTGCATTTTGCATGATTGTTACCGTATAGCTTTGTCTCATCAAAAAGATTTTTAGATAAGAGAAATGTATATAGCTGTCTAGAAGATTCCATCCTAAATTTTCAAAACTAAAATGCTTAAATCTTTCAGTATGTGTTAATACTGTCAGTTTATTTTCTTACATTTACAGAAAAATACCTAGTCCATTTCAGTTTTTTTCTGATTATTTTTGGTTTCTAATTAATTTGTTGCCGTCAGTAAGAGTGCTTATCTCTTTGAAAGGAAAGGAGAAACCTTTTCTTGATAACAAATGAGGTCAACTGCAAAAAGCAACAGATGGTGGATTTATTACTGAAGTGCCTTTTTTCTTTTATTTTCATAATATGAGACTTTGACTCCATAGAAAAATGTAAGGGAGGGGCTTTGATTGAGGAAGGCTAGCCCATAAGGGAAAGGGAAGATGAGATCAGACTTGTGGCCAAAAGCACCCTGTACTTAATATATAACGTACAGTAACATGAAACTTCTAAGAAGAAGTGAAAGGAAGTCACAGGGTTTCAGACAGGAGAGAGATGTGGTTTTGAATGGCTGGTGAAGACAGGAAATTGACATGGAAGTCAAAGGAACCCAAAGTCATCCTTGATGAGAGTCGTGGTTTGGGAAGGAAAGATAATTCATCACCCATATGTATATTAGGTTGTATAGCTGACTTCCATTACTCAGATTTGGTCACTTAGCTTCATAAAATCTCAAGTTAGGACTAACTTAATCTGAGTTTCTGTGAAAAGACTACTGCTGAGCATGATGCAGAATAGAACCCTCCCCACCCAGTTATGTGGGAAGCAGGAAATGGCAACTACATCTGGATTTACAAGTTTGCTTGAATCTGAAGCAATGGAGAAATGGAAGAATTATTAGCTTGTAGGGTAATAAAACATGTTTATCTGGGAAATTCAATGCAGTAATAAGTCTGGACTTCATATCGAATATTTTAAGCACCCACATGTCCAACCTGTGTGAGAAGGTGTCATTTTAGTATGTATTAACTAGCATGGTTGAGACAATGGGATCAAAGTTTTGAGTCCCAAGACTGAACCTATCTTTTCTGTCAACTGAATGTGATGGTGGCTTTTACTGATCCCTCTAGTATGCCATAATATAGGGTGGAGTACTAAGGTTTGGGGATTTTTCTATAGGCAATAGGGATATTTTAAATCCCATTAAACTCAAATTCTCATCTTCCGTCTGAGATGACTTAAATTTCTAAATCGATGACCTGCCCTGAACAGGTCTTTTATTTCCTCACTTAGGCTTCACTGTTTGCAGAATCACTTAGTATAGTTGGGCTGTGTAAATACGGATTGTGACAGTATACTGCTCTCCGAGCTATTCTAATTTTTCCACTCATTTTGTCCCAAGGCATCTTTTAAAAAAATGTGAAGGAAAGGGTACCATGTGATTTTTTTTTTTTTTTAACAGATTTAACTTTTTTCTACGTTCCTTTTTTATACTTGGCAATTTTCCCAAGACACAGAAGAGGTATTCTTAAGGGGAAATACTCATAATTATTTGTCCTTTTTTTAAACGCAAACAAACTAGTTGTCTTCACAAGGGATTTGCTACCAATTTATCCCTTCACAAGGTTAGACCAGATTCAGTAGCTGACAGAACTTCATTGCGCTTTTAATGCCATAGTTTGTTTATTTTTGTGTTTGTTTTTTGACAGGTATCTGAAAAGGGTTCTCTGACAGCTGACGAGTTTGCTAAGCTGGTGGGGATGTCTGTTCTCTTAGCCAAAGAAAGGTAAGTAATAAATGCGGTGTTTAATACCTTTGTTATCGTGTTGTCCTCAAGTAATACAGCATGTCTTCTTTTGCTTTCTCTAGGCTGCTTCTTGCTGAAAAGATGGGCCATCTTTGCAGAGATGATTCAGTGGAAGGCTTGAGATTCTACCCAAATTTATTTCTGACACAAAGCTAATGTAGTTTCTGTACAATTTGTTACGTAACAGTTGAACAAGAAAGCAGAGGGCAGAACCCTTCCAACAACTGACTTTAAAATTTTTATTTTGTTAGTCAGCTGCGACAGTGATGAACATTGCAACGCGTTACAGTTCTCAGGTATTTCAAGCGCTGAATCCTCGTACGCGGAACTGAAAGGAAATAGGAATCATTAAGTCAGAAGCATGTTAATTGTCTCAAGCCGGCTAGCTCATGTTTCAAGTTTTATTTGATGTACTCTGTAGTTTCTCATTTCAAGAGAAGTCAGATGAAGATTCCACACAAGTGAAAGTGGAGAGAATATCCCTGTAGTCTGCCGTAAGGGTCGGCACCCAGAAGACACGTTACTGCATACTCTAATTTCAGTTTGTTTATGTCTAGAGCAACAAAGCAGACAGATGTATCCGTAGCGATAAGAAAAGTGACTTCGGTGTGTACTGAGGTAGAAGGAACAAACCAGTGTAGAATAACGCCTTCTCCCTGAAGTGATGAACAGTTTTCTAAGAGAGGATCTTGGGGTTCTTGTACTTTGAGACAGAAAGAACCTGCTGCAGGAGAGATTAACATGTTATGTGAATCTAGAAAACACGGTGTTTATTTTGTCATGTCTTATGCTAATATCTCAGATAGAAGCATTGTTAGCACAGACTTCCTCCCTTCTCTCTCCCTGCCATCTTCCTTCCTGTCTCATTATGTTGCACTTTGGGTGCCCTTTCTCTGTCCTCGCTGTACGTAGCAGACTGTAGTAGCCTCCTGTCACTCTACCAGACTCTGTGCTTTAATGTGCTTGTTTTTTATCTTGTACTTCTAATGAAAGATCATTTGTTTCATCAGTCTATCACCTCTTTTGGAGAGACGGTTCATTTGCTTATATCTCACGCGAAGATTAATATGCTTTCAATATTGGAGGGAGGAAGAAGACTATCACCCTCTGTTTAATAGTCACAAGGTATCATATTGTTTGGTATTCCTCACCCTGTGTTCACACTGAATGCAATTTGATAGTCTCAGTTTTTGTAACTCCAGTGGAGTTGTTACATTACTTGAACATCTGTTGTCATGGTAATAACAATAAGTGGATGTTTACGATCCACATCACTTAAATTTTTGGCGTTTTGAAATGACCAGTTTTAATAAATAACAACATTCAGTCAAGGTATGGGCAAGGACAACATATAGGTAACTGCATTGTGGTTGTAATGCCCAAATCGACATTACAAAAAAGGAGAAAAAGGCTTTTAAGAGCCGGAAAATATTTTCAGAAGTATTTCAGTGTTACCAGAGCTTAGACGAGGGTTAAGAGCCTGCCAGTAAGGAGTTCAGTGCAGAGATCCCTACAGTGATGATGCTTCTGGTTTGTAGGATGCTCATTTAGATTCGGGGAATTGTGTCCTCTTATCTTTGTCATGAGCAAACTCTTATGCAGTGCTTTCTTCCGGGCAGTTTTCCTCTGTTTCATGAAGGTGCTAAAGCTCATATGTTTGACACAGCTGAAGGAACCGGTTCCACACAGTTCTTGCTGTGTTAACCATCTAGTATCATCTCTTCAGGAGCCTTATGGCTTTGCTGCTTCTCTTCATCCTTCCCACAACCCACAGAAGAGATCTATGCGAGGTACGCCAAGCATCACGCGTCTAAGGAGGGACTGAAAAGTGAGAAATTCAGAAGTAAAAAGCTGTTTTGTGCAACTGTTTCTTTTGCCCGATACCCAAACCTGTCAAGGGAGACCAGTGGTTTGTGGGCTGAACCTCTCCCCACAAGGGGGCATGTCTTCTGCAGAAAGAACAAAATCAGAAAGGCAATGCCAAGTGTAAACTCCCAGCCTTCGTTGCTCCAACCCTGAGCATTTCATTATCTTATTTAAGCAATAACAATACGGCCTGTTTAGAATGATGGTACCTTCTCGAGCTTTTCTTTCCCAAGATTTTTCCTTGACTTTTTTTTTCTACAGGGAAGAAATCTATAGGGTAAATTGTATAGCTGGTTTAGAATTTAAATATTCACATGAGAAAATGACTACTAGAAAGTAATAAAAGATTTTCTTAAATAGACTCTTCTGTCAGTTTTTTTGTTCCTGAATGTTCTGGGCAGCTTTAAAATCTTTGAGCATCAAAATCTTGTGGTTCTGTGAGGCAGGTTTTTAAAGTACTTCATATTTTTGCTGTCTCATTTTGTAGCTAAAAGGGTACGAGATAGTTTTGATTTAAAATTGAAAGGCGGAGTGAAATGTAATTAGAATACCCTGGTTCTGTTGCCGAGTAGCCTGTGACCCATCCTAGCCAGAATCGCAAAACTATCGATGCCTACACAAGCACCAGTTTCACGAGGGAACCAGTCTGAGTCCGAGCCAAGCATATATCCTGTGCTAGCGTTGGAAAGGCGTTCGACACGTTCCAATGTGTTTTCCCAGCGGAAAGATGACAGAAATCATGTGTCCGATACCATACTGAGAGCCAGCTGTTGGGTGAGCAAATGGAGTGACGTGTTTGTCATGGGTGTGTGGTATCGTGGTAGTACATCACACTGTCCTAAACTGTTGTTGCCCGGTCGTGTTTTCATTGGTGCTACCAGCAAAAAATCTATTGACCATCGAAGCAGGATTATAGGAGAGAGGAAAATACAGGAGTTGCCATTCTCACAGATCATTCTAGTTTAATACAGAAGGTGGCTATACGAACCTTTCATGTTTTGATTATTCCTAGAATATTTGTATCATGATCATGAACGTTATCTCATTTTGCCAGGGCTGCCCAATTATACAGTCCTTTGAACAGAGGTTTGTAACAGAGGTCTGTTCAAAAAGCGCTTGTTTTTTTATGGAGCAGTCTTAAATGATGATTATGTTTTTCATTTGAAAACACAGGCCTTTTTATACCTCGGACAGGAAAAGAACACTGCTCAAGGAATCTGTACATCTTTTCCATTTCTCCTTTGCCTTTGTTTTCAGGGAAATTATATTCCGCCTATGGAAACACGGATCTAATATGAACCATATTTCGGAAGTGCAAACGTTGTTTTTTTTCTCTGAAAGATACGTATGTATGTATGTGTATTTGGAGGTCTTCAGAAGTGTATCTTTAATAATCACTACTGGCTGCATATTGATTAGCTAAACTCTTCGACGCTCAGTTCTTCTAACAGGACTTTTACAGTTTGTCCAAAGGGCCAGACTGTCCTTCTTGTAAAATTAGTGGCAGTATTGTCACCGAATTCATGAGGACAGTAGCGGGAGACAGCGGGAGCCTGCTCCCGACAGCAGAAGTTCCTGCTTCCTCAAGCCTGGGAGGCTCTCATTTGCAACCGGACAGTTCTTTCAAAATACACACTGAAAAGGCAGGAATGGCTGACTCAAAATTACTTGTGGATTTGATATGAAATTGTCATTTTCTTTGGGAGGAACCCCCTCTCTCATGTTTGGTGGTTGGTTTTTTTTTCTGAGCTAGATTGACAAATCTGACAATTACGTTGCTTCTCCCATTCTAGCAGTTCCCATTCCATCCTAATTCTCGGTGCTTCACGCATTCATGTGAAATGCAAGACTGTCTAGTTCCAGGTCATCTTCTGCTGGAAAGACTTCAACTACCATTTTGGTCTCCCAAGAATGAGCTGCAAGTACTGACGCTAAGAGGATATTTTGGGCATGTCTGTTGGCAACATTCGTCTTTTTTTAAAGGAAGTACTTCAGTGCTCTTTGGAGCAGAGGCCCAAGAGCCATACCTCCCAGGTAGCTGTCCTGGCCAACAGGCTTGAGAGTCGTTTTTCTTTAGAATGGTTACAAAATTAAAGTATTATTCAAATATTAAAAAAACACCAAACCACAAAAACTTCAGGAGTGAGTGAGAAACCCCAGTTTCAGAAAACCCCGTAGCCACCTAGTTAGCACACACTCATGAGAGGGAGACCTGATGGAAACCACCCTGCTTCATATCCCTGCTCCAAACCAAAGACCAGGTAGGATCTTGGGTCTCCCGCTTTCCCACTGAACTGTGAACGCCGTGACTTCAGATTCCCACTGATGACAGAGCGCATTGAACCCTGCTGTGCCGTGCTGACGGCAATGCTGGACAGCGAGTTCAAGGTCAAAGCGGCTGGTACTGCTGGAATAGTCGCAGCACTTCTGTGAATCTAGTCCCACTCTCAGCATAAGGCTCAGACTATTTACACATTTTGCATTGTTTTCTTCAAAGTATTTTATGTACTTGGAGGGTTTCACTTAGCTGATGATGAATTATCATCAAAATGATCTCAGGGCGTAAAGGAGGGGACTGATATAATCTAAATGCTGTTTCACTGTATTTTTGAAGTCAACAGTCAAAACAAATCGGTGCTCCTGTGTCCCTTGCTTCATACATGCAGAACACTCCCAGAAACTCAAAGACAGGACTTGTTATTTTATTTTAACCAAAAAAATTGCAGGAGGATACATGCTGTGTGAAGTACTCGCTTTTTGCAAAGAACAATAAAGGCAGGACAGTTGCACAGAATAAATCTGTGTCTGTTGCTGGTATGACGTTTGTACTGTGGCTATTTAATGATTCACTTCATGTAGGTAGAGTTCTTTTCAAATGTTGCCTAAATATAACAGCATTTGACATTGTATATGAGAAATGTGTGTTCTTTCAGCCAGACTCAGCAGTTGCATGTGTGTGGCACGATTCCCCCGAGTTTCACTTCACATCAGATGGAGAATTTGAGGTGTGTCCTTAAATTGCAAAGATACACTGGTTTGATCCACCCATCAAACGAGAATGGCAAAACTCCCACCAACTTCAAACCCAACCTTTGTTACAATTATCAAACGTTGATTAGTTAACAGCTCTGAAAATGGGTGTATTGAGTATGGCTGAGCTCTGACCGCAAGAAGGAAGAGCTTAAAAGACGTTCTGGAATAAGATCACAAAATGTTTTGGTCTCTTGAGTAGAAATACCAAGCTAGGCACAACTGTTGCAAAGTGACTGTTTCTGATCTTTCTGCATTCCTATTGTTTTTTCCAGTGTTTTGGGAAAGCCCGAGATAAGGATATTTTTTTTTTCCACTGGGACTCTAATCTATTTATAGGTTACAAGGCCAGAAGAGACTATTATGACCACCTCGCTTGACCTCTTGGGTAACAGAAGCTGTAGGGCTTCCCTTGCTTGATTTGTGTTTGAAGTAGAACTCCTCTTTCAGGAACAACAAGAGACT